CTGCTCTAACAGGTTAAGCACATCAAAATGGGAAAACCAACTGGGACAAATTCATCTAATCTTCAGGTGCTTAATTTATGTAATTAATAAAGACATCATGAACGTAGGTTAACGCTACGCATATGCAGGATATCCTACCAGTCTTTCTCCTGCTGCGAGTCCAGTACGGAACTGTCTCTATGGTAGAAATGGCCTCAACAGGACCTCCATTCGCAGGCACAGTCACTGTCGTCTTTGTCACAAGCGTCTCACTTCCCTGTTGCATCAATGCACAGTCAGTAAAACTAAATCAGGCAAAGATTTGGCTGTAGGAAACCTCTGCATGCTAACAATAAGGATAAAACACTGAGATGTAAATGATTGTAATCCAATGGTGACAACCTGCAGAAAATGTCAACGTTTACCCTTTCTGAGGTTCTGCCTGTTGATCGTGATCTTTTAGAAGCACTTGGAGGCCCATCAATGAGATTTCTTGAGGAGCGCTAAAATCAGGACACAAAGTATGACACCTGTTCTTTGTAACCACATTTTCATTCATTAGCCTCTTCCTAATAGTGAACGAATGCACAGCGTACCCTCTTTTCTCGCTTCTTGAGTCGTACTGTCCTGATGTTGGTCGAATCCCAATCCTGAAAGAGATATTAAGTCACATACTCATCCAAAACAGGCCATTACGGAGAAAATGTTCTCTGATTATGCCGGAAAAAATTAGAGTACTTACAAGGGAGTCGTCGGTTTTGTCATAGCTTATATCTGACAAGATGGAGGCAGACTCATCTATTGTCAACAATCTGTAGAAATAAAGAAGAAAAACTTGTTTGGTAAATAAAACACACAACAGCCATGTCTCGTGCAATACCAATTGATAGCAATTGAAGTTGACTGTAAGGGTCAAATAGGAACGTGTGTTTTTGACTCTAGCTATATGACTGAATTGAATAAAATCGTCTTTGTTGTCCTACAGAAGGAAATTTCAGGTCTAGCATAAAATGTAGATGTATAAACAAAGACATTCAAAGTGTTTAATAAAACATAAAAAAATAATATTAAGAATAACAAAAAAACCAACACCAAACTACTACTAAGACAGCAGGTCAGAAAGAGATGGTATAAATATCTTTATACCTCCGATTGGTGTTCTGGCTATTTGTCTGGCAGTTTGTATTGAGGAAGGCTAGAGCAGACCGTTGTTCAGCACTCAGCTGGATGCTGTTGGTGGATCCCTCACTCATTAAAAGATCCCGGATCAACTGAATCTGACGGTCCTGTACATTCAAAGCACAAGTGGAGAAAAATTCAAGAGCTGCTTGAAGGTAAACCCTAAAACAAAAAGTTTGCCTTTAAGAAACCATACCAGCGTCTCGCAGTCGGCCTCTGCCTTTTGCCTGCGCCGGATCTCCACGTCCACTTGGTTGCGAGCGTGTTTCAGCTTCACATCCAAGGCTCCTCTCTCCATCTCTGCTTTTCTCAGCATATCCTTGCAAGATCCCAGTTCATCCAGAGACCTTGCCCATTTGCGGCGGCAGTCCTCAAAGTTCTGCAGCATCTGAATGAAACCTGTCAGTGAGAGTTCAAATTGTGAATACAAACAGGCATTTACATACCAGATTAAATCATATAATCTAACAGAACCACTTACTGGGCTCAATATTCTCATTCATAAGCTCAACATGAGTCCTCAGATTATCATATAGGCTCTGGAGGTTCAGGATTGTAGTCTCCATGGTGTCCAACAATTCAAATCCCTACAGGAAAAGAATTACACACACACACACAGCTTAATGATTCTTTAATTTAACAGATCATTCCATTTGTGTGAATTTAGAAACTTCCTAGTCGTTTTGAAGTAAGCTGCGCCTTTCAAAGAAATAGTTACTCTGAATACGTTTTAGAGAGAGGCAAGCTAACTTATTACATTAAACAACACTCTTATATATCACTTTTCACCCTACTCTAAGACGCTCGTTACCCTTTTTCTTTCCAGCTTTCGCTAGCAAGGTTTTACAATAACGTCACTCGTTCACAGCTTAAGTAAGCTAACAAAACAAAACAGCAGCTAAGCTAACTTTGTCATATTTGCACCCGCTGGGTACACTTACAGTTAGCTACCTGTTTGGAGAAATTCTGTACAGTAAACCCTTCCGGAGAGTTGTTTAATTTAGCAGTTCGTTCTCATTTTCTCTTCGCAGCCGTCTTTGTCCGCATCCTTGTTCGCCCGTACCTACTATGAGCGGGTTTCTTTTCAAACTTCGCCGCTGGCCAATGAACGCGCTCTGCGTGGGTGTTAAAGGAATCGGCAGTTACAACTTCCGTATACTTCTTTTCAAAATAAAATCAACGTAACTGTCACCTCTCCGCCTAACACACAAAAACCAAAGCGTAAAACAACAAAATATATCTGTACAAATTATAGCTTAATATGAAAATTTAACGGACTCACTGCACACCTAATAAATGCGCTTAATAAAGACTGAAACTGTGAAAGTGAATATGAAAATACGTCACTTCCGGTAAGTTACTTTACAGCGTAACGGTCATTGGCATATCGGAACTTGCAGACGCAGAGCTGTTTTTATTTTTATTTCAAGATACAAGTGGAATAACAACTACAATCTCGCTTTTTCTGAATGAGAAATTATATTAAAAAATAAAATAATGTGAGGCTGTAAATTTCCTACTGCAGTATTAGAGATAGAGGTAAAAAATAAAGCACACCAGATAATGTGCTTTCTATAAACAGGATCTGTTGCTGTTTTAGTGGAACTCAAATTAATATAACTTATATAGCAAAACAAGTATGACCCTTCTGCTGAATTGAAGGACTGTTAGATTACTGAAAATGAAAAGCGCTCAGTAGCAAGTGTATGGTGAACAAATGGAATATGTATGAAAAGTAGCATTTTATGTGGTTTTGGGTAATTTTTTTTCACAAGTTTCAGTGATCTTAATTAACTTCCATTACATTTGTGTTTTTCTTCAACATCTTACCACTTAGAAAGATTGTGGTGTCTTACTGTCTAATAACCCATTCTCCAAATCTCCTGCAATTATACGCGGGATGCCACAAGGGTTTGTGTCGGGCCCTCTACCATTTTCTGCATTTGGCAGTTTCAGGCCAGAAGTCATACTTTTTTAAATCTCTTTGTATACATTACATCTTAATTGGATTTCATTTTACAACATTTTATGTTTATCTCCAAAACAAATTTTGAAAGTGGTTGTTCCACTATGATGCATTTATGCTGAACTGTCTTTTAAATTTATATGAATACAATATAACAACAGTTGGTTATATTATCTTACCTCACAGGAAGGTGAAAGACTGAGGTCAGTTTTATAAAATTGCAAAGTAAGAGTTACAAGAAAAGGCTGTAAATTAATTGTCAATTCAGAATAGAAACTGCACATTGCTGAATTATAATACAGTTACCTTGTCATCTTTATAGCCCTGATAGACCCAGTGCATTATTTCCTTTAGTGTGTGACTATCAGATTCAAGTCACTGTCACAGCTAACATAGAGTACACAGTAAGTGACAGGAAAAGACATGAGGAAAGGATTTTATGTGGGATTCAAGTTTTAAAGTCACTGTATTGTACAGCACTGCGTTCAGGTTTGAGTTTGTCTTCATTATTCAAGACCATGTGCAGGAACATTATTCTCAGAAGAGAGGATATGCCCTGCACCAGATATTGCCCCTGGCTAATATCCATCTGTTGCCCCTGAGGCGAGTAAAACCAAAGCTGCTTATAAAATACATATGCGACATACAGAGATGCAGAGTTAAGCCACAGTACTTCCTCACTCAGTTGACAAAACTCATCACACACAGTTCTTCATCCTAATTCAGTTTTTCAACACATCCTGCCGGGATAAATTAAAAAATCCAATCATCTCCATTGGTGCAGTCAGATATTCAGTCTTTAATGTCAGAAAGCTTCAATCATGCAGATTTACACAGAAACGAATGATGAGAGAGTAAGTTTCATACGTATGTTAAACATCATTATATGTCTATCGAGCTCAGCTTACATCAGAGTACAGTGTTCGAAATACAAACTAAGCTGCATCCAAGATGAGGCTGCTAAGCTACTGACACAATGCATTATAAACACGCAGCTGTTTATAATAAATGGAACATAATGAATGTTCCATTTATTATGTTTTTAAAGCAGCTCTAAACAGCTCTAGATTTAAATAATTCCAATGTTTTGCCGTTTTCTGGAACTTTGTTCCAGATTTGTGGTGCTTAGAAGCTGAATGCTGCTTCTCCATGTTTGGTTTTGGTTCTTGGGATGCAGACAGCAGATCTTTAATGTCTTGTGGTGCAAAACCGTTCAGCGATTTATAAACAACAGTATTTTAATATTTTAAAGTCTGGAGGATTGATTTGTTAGGCAGACCTGTAAAGACGCCGTTTCAGTAATCAATGCAACTAAAGACAAACGCATGGATTTCTCTCTAAATCTTGTTGGGTTGTTTTTGTTTAATCCTGGAAATGTTCTTCAGGTGATAGAAGGCTGACTTTGTAACTGTCTTTATGTGGCTCTAAATGTTCAGGTCTGATTTTTAGTATCTGGCTGCAAAAAAATAAATCTGTATGTTGACTCTCCAACTTACTCTAAATATAATAACTTCATTTTTTCTGTCCACCTGAAGAAAGTGGTTAAAAGCATCTGTTCAGTGCTCCGTTTGGTTTAGTTATCTGGTGATATTGTTTGGTTGTATTATGGGAATACGATTCCAATGAAACAGCATTATGACAATGAAATTGGCTATTGGATTTTAACATTATGTGCTTTTTTTCATCAAAACTAATTGTTCATCATTCCTGCTGCTCAAGCAACTCAAGCGGTTTGTATGACTATCTGCACTCAACACCTCGTCACGATTAATTTCCGACCAAATTAGCAGCCAGGAGAGAGAGAGAGAGAGAGAGAGAGAGAGAGAGAGAGAGAGAGAGAGAGAGGCAGGACCACCAACCCGCTGAGGACAAACTTGCAAGAAGCGGAGGATGCAGAAAAAGCTCCGCCAAACAACAGTGCAGCTGCTCGGCGGCTTGTGAGGCTCCACACGGCAGCGCGGCGCTTGTTGCGGATTACACCATGATTGCCACAACTCAACAAAACATGACCACGGATTTGGTAGGTGGGCTTCAATTCACTACTTTGCGGTTCCCTTCCTTGTGCAGAGGAAGTGTGCAGTGTGTGTGTTTTCTCCAAGGGGGTTTTCCGTGTGTCGGGGAAAATTGGTGATTTCGCTTCTGGACACTTTTTTCCGTTGCTGTCCATCTTCCGGACAGGCTTGCCCCTGAGCACTGAGGTGTGATTCGGACGTCCAGGCTTCTTCTTTATTGTCCCATGCAGCCTCAGCGTGTTTCCCTGCACCGTTAAGAAAGCTCAATTTTCCTGGATGATAATTAGTCCCAGCAGCCAGTCCCCTCCAGCATGGACGCGCACATTGACAAAAGAGGAGGGGGGCAGCCTGCACACTATGATTGATTAGCCCTTTGCTGCAAAGGTGCATGGTCAATGAATGGGGATTATGAAGCAGGACATTTGTAAATTGCACTAGATTTAAGCAGTTCAGGCTGAAAAATGATACAAACCAGCCAGTGTGAGGTATAGTCTAAAAATTATGCTGCCTAAGTCAGGATTAAATAATCCTCTTCTGTATATATTTTCAAGCTTTATTCTCTGCTTATAATGTGAGATGCATTTATTACTACCATGGCTTTTTTTCCTCCTCAGCATTTTTCCAGGTTTTAATCTGCAGAGTTACAGAGGATGTTTCAGATACAGTGATAAACCGAACATAACTGAATCAATAGAACTGGAGTAGCGGTTCCAACTCGAGGGTCGGGGGCAAAATCTGGCCCGCTGTAAGTTTTTCATGTGGTCCTCTAGACTCCAAATTACATCAAAATTCACACAACATCAATTGATCCCCAAATGTTTCAGATTTTACTGACATTTTTCCCCAAATTGGCCAAAAATGTTGGTTTTAAGTGACTGCTGACCCAGCCTCACTTGATGTCAAGTTATATAGTCTGTGAAAGATAAAGCGATGAATGAAAAGTCACATTTAACATCACCCATTAGCGCAAATATCGCTAATGTGTCATGTATAGTAGACAGTATATTATAAAAAAAAAACACAAAACAATCACAAAATCCTGGAGAGACTGATGAGTGATGAATATATTTTTTATATTTAAATCATCATACAATTACTCAAAGTTCTTTTGAATTGGATAGTGTCTAACATGTTTGATCTTAACATTAGCGCTTTATCTAAACAAGTTAAACCTGCATTTAAACTTTTAAATCTTCTGAAACTTGTTTTCTGACTTCTAACGCTAATATTTGTGGTTCATCAGCAGCAATTTTCTCTCAGTCTCTCAGCGAACAGCAAGTGTGATTTCAGCAATAGCTCTGTAGCTACAGCTAAAACTTTATGAATTCTTGACGAAAGTCCAAACATTTCACAACCCCAAACGAGAGCCAGAACTTTTATTTAATTGACATATATTAACATATTATTCTTAACATTTGCACAAAGAATGAGAATAACAGTTATATTCAAGTCAAAATGATTAGCCAAGACTTATGCTAGACGTAACAACAGCATTGAAAATATCATCAGTAACAAAAATATGCTTGATTTAAATGTGTATTATTTTAATTAGTAATATTTAGAATTCATTTTTACATTTTATAACAGCTATAACACTTATTTAAATGTCTTTTTTTAATGTTGAATGTTCAGCACTATATAGAAAACATTCTAAATTGTTTAATTAATAATAAAACGGTTATTATTTTTAGAAGAGTTTCGAGTCTCTGCATATTTACTCAGCTGCAGCTTCAGAGGATTGTTTTTCATTCTGAATATTCTGTAGTTGGTGTAATACTGAGGAAAACTCCTTGACATTAAGTGGCACTCAGGTCTTTAGTGCTTTTACTGACATGATGAAATCCAAATGAAACTTGCCAGAAATCATTTATTTCATAATCCTGAGGCTTTTTTTTCTCTGATGGAAACGACCACAGAAGGCTGCAGGGTTTATAGACGACCTTTTCACCTGCAAATGTCAGCTCTCGTCAGTCACAAATCAATGTACTTTAGGCAGAAAATCTGTTGAGATTGTTGCTCCTTTACAAGGAAGAAACATTATTGATGCATTTAGTTATAAACGGGAAGTAACTGTTTGCATAGCTTGAGTTAATTATTTAAAGATGCACCAGTGAATCAGCTGAGACTGAACTGAATCAAACGTTTTTTTCTTTCATTGTTTGTGATCAAGGAATTGGCAAATCAGTACTGAAAATTTGATTTCTATTTAGTAAAGTCAACAAAACTAAGAACTCGCCTAATTTTCTATCTGTAAAAGCATCATCATATATTTTGATGCACTTGATTTGACATAAGCGTTCATGGATAAATGAGTAAAATTATAATGATAAAAGAAAACAATAAATCATAAATCATAAAACTGCAAGAATAAACTCGTACGAGAACAAAGTAAAAATAATGAGGATAAAGTCATAAGTATTATGAGAATAAAGTTGTAAGAGAATAAAGTCAAAATAATGTCACAGAATTACAATAATATCACAAAAATAAAGTCGTACAAGAACAGAGTCAGAAAAATATGAGAATAAAGTTGTAGTTTTAGAAGATTATAGTCATAATATTACGAGAATAAAATCATAACATTCTGAGAATAAACTTGTACAAGAATAGAAGTTATATGATATGAGAATGAAGTCCTAATATTACAGGAATAAAGTTGAAAAATTTCGAGAAAGTCATAATATTATCACTTCATTCTCATAGTACTAGGACTTTATTCTCATAATTTTCTTATTTGAATTTTTTAGCATGACCCAAATACATTTTTAAATGAAACTGCTGTCATTTTCTCTTTAATGTGCTACGATCCTTCGAGAATAATAGGTTTGATTAAAGTGTGAAATTTGCAGCTCAGAAATCAGAAAAATGGCACAGAAAAAACTCTTAATTGGTTCATCCTTGGAATTACCTTTTTAGGATAGTGTGTGTTTTGTTAAATGCTGAATTTTAAAGCAGCACACATACATTTGTTCTTGCATAAAACCAGAAAGCCCAGTTTAATCTCAGAAATGTTCGTGTTGATGCTCAGCCTCAGCTCCACATGCTCCATATTTAAAATTGCACTGAGTCCTAACGTGTTATTTACTGGTAAATCCCCTCTGAGGAGCCTCGGTGCGCCGGGAAGAAAAGGACTCCTCTTCATCATATTTACTTTGACTCCACATCATGTCACCCGTATAGCTCCCCCACCTCGCGTTTTCATGATGCTGCTTGTTCCCCCAGGCCGCAACTAAGTGTACAGGAACCTTTTGTGATGTAATTTTTTTGTGTGTGATGGGGAGCATGAAAAGAAGATAGGGGAGCCTTGCAGCGATAGACTAAAGCAGCTGAGCTTTCATTTCACGAAGGCTTTTGCTGCATTGTCTCGTCATAACCTCCAGGGCTAAAAAAGGAGAAAGTAATCTCTAGTTATGGTCTCCCATGGTGTCTTCACCATTTCTTTTCTCTTTTTTGCAGGAGAGAAAACCCAATGCAATGCTTTGGTTCAGCTGGAAATCAATTACAGCTGTTTGGTTTCTCTTCATCTGAAATTACAGTCTGCTCTAATGATGACCTTTATTTTTACTGAGGCAATGAGAAATATTGACAAAATAATGCATATGGGTTCCTTGTTAATCTGCATCTTTCCCCTGTGAGTAATTATAATGAATCATTAAAATCAGCCAATAGCTTATATATTGAGGTCTGTATGTGCCTGCCAATAAGAGACCCATTTTAACGTTAGCAGTTTATTCATTAGCGTCTACGTCTGTGATCTACATCAACAGCCGGGGTTCAGGAGGTTTTCAAGTATGCAAATCCAGCAACGGCGTGCTTCGGTTCACTCATTTCTCTTCTTGTGATTTATTATTGGATGCCTCAAAGACACTGAAGATGGAGTTAAGAAGGTCCCCTGAGTCTAATTTATGAATTTTAAATACTGCCTGAATCCTGCACAACCTAGTTGTGGCGCGCGCTCTGCAGATCATGTTTGGTGTGACTTCTTTTCGATTGACTGCAAATTCTTTTTGGACACCTTAAGAGAAAAGTATTTGTGAGGAGTGCAGTGGGGAACTCCAGTCTGATCTGAAGTTGACATGGTGTTGTAAATCCTCAAAGAGGTGCCACACTTTTCAATAATCCTGGCGTTTAGGACGGAGAGCTTCTGTCTAAAAGTCTCCTTCATGGCTGCATTCCCTCTCTTAATTGTTTCCCTGCGGACCTCGTACAACTGTGCACCTTATCGATTCCCTCATTTGGTTGAGTGAAAATCCCACAGCACTGCCGGCGAATGAAAGAGCCCTCTCGCCTCCAGTCCAGTTCTGCTTGCTTTGCCAAAAAAAGAAAGAAGTCCTCCCAGAGGGGGACGCCTTCTGGTGATTTATTCATTAACAGTTGTTTGCTGTTTGTCCAACACCTTCATCTAAACTCCTTTAGTCTCCTTCACATACAAATGATCCCACCCCTCTGCAGAAAACCGGCTCTCGGATATTTGTCCGTGTCGGTCAGGCTGCTGACTGTGATAAACCGACTCTGTCACACGGCTCAGCCCTGTCATCTGTTCACCTGTGCTGGCAAACTGTGCTGCATTAGAGTCCTGAAACGCAGCGTGACCAGCAGCCAGGCGGCACTGTGGCATGCAGCTGCTCTGGGGGATTCAGCTCCCTGCATCTGCACCCCATTTGCAGGAATGACTCGCCTCGATGCGGGATTCTCCTCCGCCGTCTTTCCAGTGATTTGACCTTAATTGGCAGTAATGTCTTGGCTCCAGGGGAACAAGAGGAGACGGGTATCCCCCTCCTGAAATAATTTGAGGGAGGACATGAAAATAATATTGAAGTCAGTGAAGCGAATAATTCAGTTTGAAGTCTCTGTTCACCGAGGCTTTATTTTATAACTTATTTGTGTTGTGCTCGGATACGACGACGCATAAGTCTCACTTTGCATGTTTGCAGCGGTTAACCTCCATGTTATATTAATTAGGTTTAATTAAATTTCTCTGCCTCAGAATTGTAAAGGTGCAATATGA